CAGAAGGACCTGAGCGACGGGCTCTAGCTCATCGGTCTCCTGGAAGTTCTCAGCCAGAAGAAAATGTACAGAAAGTACCACGCCAGACCCAATTTCAGGCAGATGAAGCTGGAGAACGTGTCCGTCGCGCTAGAGTTTTTAGAACGGGAACACATCAAACTAGTGTCTATAGGTAAGTGCCTGTTTTATAGCATAAATATGCGCTCAGCTCGGTGGCAGTCGCGCTTTGGTGCGATTTTATGCCATTTAGCTAACCATAGCTAGCCTATCTTAAGGATATCTAAAACAAACAAAAAGGGTATTGTGATGTGTAAATCTTTAATTAAGTGACAAGTAAACTGTGATGATGTACCGTTCGATAACGGAACGCTTATTGTTGCTATGGTTACCTTACTCATCAGTCTAAATTAGCAAGCGTTTACTTAGCGCCCTATGTCTTGTAATCTGACTTTTGTGGCTAGTGAAACGTTCTTTGAAACGCTTGAAACCTATACTTTCATGTATAAAGGAAACGTACTTTTAAAAAGCCTCCTCGACTGTTTGTCTTAACGTTCTGTGGGGGGCTCGCGCTTTAATTAGGGGGGGGTCAGACCACACAAACTACCATAATTAGCTATCATAATGGGTCTGTTTTCCATTTTAACTGTAAATATTGATTCTCATTTGTTGTAATTCCATTCATTATAATTTTGGAAGTTGTAAATAATTATTTTAGATTGCCCACACTAATTTTTCTTTGAATGGACAGCTGAAGGCTGAACGAACATGTGATCATGGACCATACAGATATCCATGAAGAATGTGAATGATTTTTGCCTTTTGTGCATAATATTGTGCTCATTAAAGTCACAATATAATGATTTTCATCCCTAAATATTTGGCCAATATACAGTTTGACAGATTAGTAGTGCATGTGCATTCCAATTATGAATCAAAGTATCATGCTATTTGTTTGAATGTGCATTAAATATGACTAATATATACAATGTTATGTTAATGTTATACATCAAATAGTTTGAAACATCATATGTGCATTATCTGTTGACATGATAGATGTTGGCTGATGCAGATAATCTCAAAGTGACCCAATATTGGCTGATATATAAATATATAATTGTCATTAATTTGAATCTTATTGTTTTCTGTGATCTGACATCCTGTCCATATGGACAAAATTATATGAGGCAAAACCAGATCCTAGGACAGCATTTGTACATTTTGGGGTGCATTTTGTACCCCTGGACTTTGGGACACGGTCCCAAACCCAGCTCAGGATCAATATTATGAATTAGTGGATCCATCTCATTTGGAAAGGACCTGCAGGCATGAAATGATCATTGATTAGAGTTTATCCTTAATTTGTGAAACATGGAAGGATTTTTGGGAAGTTGTTTTTGTTATTGCATTTATCTATTATATTTATATTCCAGTGCTTTTAGTGGTAGACTGACAGTCTGATTCTAAACTAATGCCCAATCATCAGTAAAAGGCTGTAAATTTGGCTGATTTAAGAGAACTTCATTATGTTTCATCGTAATTCACTAAATATTATCAGACATATAAATCAAAAAGTACAATGCCTGTTTCTGGATCTTCTATAAAATGACTCTGGGATCTGTTTTAAGGTCAGTGGTGTATATTTGCAGTGGCAAAAGCCTTATATTGTTCTGATGTCTAAGTGGGTGTCAGCATGGCATTCTTTCAAAACAACTAGACGTACAACGGAGAAAGGGCAATGTTCATTACTATTACTGTTATGGAACTGATATGTTCATAATAAATACTATATTTGACCAATGATTATTTGATTGGTCTTTGACTGCAGATGTGGTCCTCCTATACTGGTTTTGTGGGAAGGAGCCAACCGTCTCACATGCTGGCACATAACGGCAGTGCTTTCAGCCCAGCTGTCATTGGCAATGAGACGGATCTTTCCAGAAGGGCACCTGCCTCTCAAACTCCCCTTATGCAAGAGTGTAGGGTGACAGAGGTGCAGGAAAAACTCTTGCACCCTTATCCAAGAAACCGTGTGTGTGTGTGTGTGTGTGTGTGTGTGAACTGTGTCACATGGGGGTTGGCCTGCTGCCACTACAGGAAATACCACTCACCTCATTTATTTTATCACTGCGCACTCAGTCACTCATGCTGATGTACCATAAAGTGTGAGAATATATACATTTACATTTACATGTATGCATGAAAACGATACGGAGCACCTCTCAAGGACATGGTGATGATAACAAAACAAAACAAAAAAAAAATGAAATGGGAGGAAAACACAAATGTTTTGTGAGAGAATGCAATGTTTCTTGGGGGAATGGAAAACGATTTGTGCGAGAAAGGTTCTTTTATAATTTACTTATTTATTTGTTTTACTTAATTATATTTTTATTTGAATGTATTTATTTTTAATTATTATTAGTAGTATTGTTGTTGTTATTATTATATACATTTTTTATTCTTGCAATTTCAACAAAATGTAATGTAAACGTAAAAAATGTAACAAAACAAGACAAAAAACGTTACATTTGAACAATGTTCATCACAATGCTTTTGTAATGGAAATAATATGAGATGGAAAAACTATATTTCAGTACTTTTGCGAGCAATATAGCTCTACCAGGTTCAGTGATTTTATATTAAATATAATATAGTTGAAATGCATAAAATAATGCTGATAGTTTCTTTGCATGTTAAGAAGTGAACAACAAGCAGTTTGTGGAAAAATAGGAGTAGAAAACCCGTGAGTTTTGGGTGTAAGTGATGAATGATGATAGCTTTGGGACAGGGTCTCCAGCGTTTAGCCCCTGAGTGAGTGAATGATTGATAGATAGACAGCTGCGCTCTGGGGTCCATCTAGTAACAGGTGCTTTAAATAGTCCTACAGACCCAGAGAGCCGGGACAGAGGGGGTTGCTGGAGGAATTTTGGATAGTTAGTTAGGGAGAGAAAGTGTGAGTCGGGGGATAGAGATGATGAGCACATGATTAACAACATTTATTGGATGAGTGTCCCCTTTTTCTTGAGGATTCAGATCTTCACTGGCTCTGCCAAAAATATGATTAATAGTTCATTTTAGCAACATAATTTTTTTAAAGGCTGTCAGTCAATTAAATAATATTTTTGCTGCATAATATTCGCTGTAAAATAAATAATACATTATTTATTTGCTCTTTAATAAATTGTCCGTAAATAAGGAAAATTGTATTTATCATATTATCTTTATAATTATTTTATTTATATCAGATATTACAACAGCAAAATGTTGTCTTCAACCTTGACATTTGTAAATAAGCACACTGTGATTTTTACAATTATTTTTGTTTAAATTTAAAAAATAATATATTTTTAATATTTTAATTTAATTACATTTTGTTATTGTTATTCATTCAGTGTTGCAGTTTCAACAAAATGTTGTTTTCAACCTTGACATTTGACAATAAACAGACTTTGTGATAGATTGAACAGCAATAACAATGTTCAGTTTACCACAAAACTATATGTTTATATTTGCAAGACTTAAAATCACATGCACATGATCAGTGGTGGATGTAGTGACAATTTAGTACTTGGGCTGTCTCTCTGTTTCCCTCTGAAGTGAATGCCCCTCTTCACAAAGTGAATTCAATTCCCTATTGACATGCTTTATCCCATAGGGGAAATTTCATTTGATTTCAATTGAAGTCATAGCATGTTTTCCTGTGCTTTAGTGGCTTCATCAGCACAGTGACTTATCTCTGCCAAGTCGTGCTCTGTTTCTCTGCATGCAACACTTTCCTGGCCCATAAACCAGAGCTTTCCAGGTTTTATCGATTCGCCGCTCTAGTACACCTCTGACATTGTTTCTGGTGGACATTGCATGTTATAATTTTTGGTCTGTCCCCAGAGTTTATCTCCAGATTCAGCTCTATGTAATCTTTGGCCACGAAAAGAAGGATTTCCATCCAGAATAATCCGAGAGTCAGGCTTTCTTTTTCTGAACAACAACAAGCAGTCTTTCTTGCAAATATGGTCTCCCTCTTTCTCTCTTGTGTCCTTCTGCTTTCTGCATATAACAGCGTCTTTAATTGTTACCATGTGTCACAGGCTAGTCAGTCCGCTGGAATGTTCGAGCACAGCTAGTGAACACCCCCTACACCCACTCACTCCCTCCAGAGACTCGACGTTGACCGCTGTGGTGCTTTTCTCAATTTGTCCCACTTGGTTTATTAATATTTCTGGTAATGAAAGCCTAAAATGCACTTTTTTGCAAACTGTTGCATATCAAGGCTACAGATGGCCCAGGTGCATCCTGGGTAGGCGGATATCAGGTGTTTGTGTGGAACGGTTGTGCAACAGCTCTTAGTTCCTTTGTTCGAATGTGGGAAACTCAACATGTGGTGTTAAACAAGGCCAGTATTTATTTCTAATTGGTTGTATTTGGATTATTAATCACTCTAAATTACAAAAAGGCACTTTGAGGTCATACACAAACTATTAGAGAATTTGTTTAAAGGTTTATAGCTTCGGAAAGCTTTGGATTCGGACGCTGCGATGATTGAATTTAGTTCATGACAGCAAAAGGCCTCACGGTATCAGAAAGGGTTTATTCAGGATATCTCTTGACTCTCGCTGTGGAATCTTCTGTTACTGTATAAATGCAACCCCATCCTCAAACTCCAGGACCATGTGGGAGATCAGAAAATTATGGAAAGCAGACGAGGGAAAAAAGGGCAAGTCGCTTTTGATTATGAATGGGGTGCTGGAAGGCTGACTGGGGCTTCATCTGTGCTGTAAGTGATATCTGAACCTCTCCAGTGTTTTCAGCTGCTCTCGGTGCTGTTTGGATAGAGTTACACATTGTAGAACATGCTTTTTTTGTTTTAATGCATGTCTAAGATTCAGAATCAACTGGTTGCTTAACTTAGAGGTAGTTCAAACAAAAATGAAAATTCTGTCATCCTTTAGTCACCCTATCATCATATGCTGTTCTAAACCTGTTTTCACCAAACACCAAAAAAAGAAAAAAAACTATTCATATAAATACATATGAAGGTGAGTAAACAATGACAAATTGTAATTTTTTTTTTACTATGTGAACTGTTTGTCTGTGGAACACAAAATCATTTATTGAGAAATTTTTTTTGGACCCCATAGATTTTCATTGTATAGGCAAAAACAGTTCATAAACAAT